GAATTTTTAAATTTTGGAGATCCCATGTGGCTGGCCAGAGCAGGACATCAAGTGAGCTGCAGTTAGGAGCCGGAGTCCTGTCGTGTGTCCTGTAGTGTCCCCATCTGGTCCCGTCCAGTCCAGTTCCCCCAACCCCCCACTTAAGTCCTTACTCATCACAAGTCTTAAATCTCCAGGAGCAAACTTCTTTTTGAAAGAGCTTCAGACTTCAAAACAAAGGAGGTTCGTGAAAGGCGACTGACGGTGGAGTCTGGTCCTTAATGTTTCCCAAATAATCAGCTCTCAATCCGTAAATGCCCCTCAAATAAAACTTCTAATTCTCAAATAGCTTCCAAATCCTTAAACTTTCCTCAAAACATTCAAGACAATTCGCAGTCCTACAAATCAAATCCAGACTTTTGTGGGGCTCCAACTCCGGTTCATCCGTCAGCATGTGGGGCATGCACACAAGTGTGTACGCAGACACACACACACACAGACACACACAGACACACACACGTACACACATAGACACACACACGTATACACACACGTACACACACAGACACACACACACAGACACACACACATACAGACATACACACACAGACACACACATACAGACACACACATGTACACACACAGACACACACACACACATACAGACACACACACGTATACACACACAGACACACACACATACAGACACACAGACACACACACATACAGACACACACACAGACACACACACATACAGACACACATACGTACACACACAGGCACACACACACACAGACACACACACACATACAGACACACACACGTATATACACACACACGTAAACACACACAGACACACACACACGAGTGTACTTGTGGTTTTTTTTCGTTATTATTTGTAAGGACTTGTCAGTCAAGACAGAATCCCCCTTTTATGAACAAGAATGCCTCTTCTACACCAGGGACGCCTCCAGCCCCCAGCCCCCAGCCCCCAGCCCCCAGCAACTGTCATCGATAGTTAGCTTTTCCCATTTGTTTTCAAAGAGAGTGGTGGGGGGCATCCGCTGGGAAGGAGATGTGGGAGCAGCAGCAGGCATCCTTATTTTTGTTTTTGTCTTTTCACAAGGGAGTCTTAAACATATTGAATTTCTGGCTCACTGCAGTTCCTACAGGGCTTCTTCAGGACCAGAGTCTTCTGTGGGATTCTTTGTCACTTACCCTTCCAAGGTGGCTCAAAGGACAACCTGGCTGAGGGAGAGTTGAGTGACCTTTAAAAGTCTAAATGTTTGAGTTCCTGAGTAAACAGTCAGGTTTGAGTGGCAGTTCGTGCCAACTGACGTAGAGCGGTGTTTTCCTGTGGATCGAAAAGGGCTGCTGGTAGATTCAGGTTCAAAGATGTCTGAGCGAGAACTCCCAGTGTCTATTGATTATACGAAGACGGAAGAAGCCACAGGGCAGCAGGGCTTAGCTGGAGCTAAGGTAAGGCAGGCTGAAGTTCTGTCAGCAGCTCAAAGCAGGTGCTTGTGAGGTGCATGTGTGCGTGCGTGCCAGTGTGTGTGCATGTGTGTGTGTGTGCCTGAGTGCGTGCATGCCAGTGTGTGTGACACTTCAGTGAAGGTAATGTCAGTAAAGGACTAATAGGAACTACTTTCCTCCCAAGCTGCACACTAGTATGATGTATCACTCCCATTTTACAGTCCAGAAGACTAAGGCATGGAGAAATTGATCAAGACCACACAGCTAGGAAGCTACAGAGCTGTGCTGTCACCAGCTCTTCAAGTTAGTTAGTTAGAAGCCTCGCTCCAAATACTTGATAAGACACCAGATGGGAATTGGAGGAGGGGGGATTAGGTTGGATGTGCTGAGTGAATTACTCACAGGTGTCTTGCAGTTCAGAGCAGGGACTCCACAGTGCTCCAGCTCTGGGCTGCACAGATGTAAAGCTCTTGCTCTGTCCCCATAGGGCCCAGAGTTTCTGTTGATAGGAACTCAGGACACTCACAAGCATATCTGTATGTGAGTGTATCATTATATGTGACACATTACACATATATACATACACATACATTGTATATACATATATATACATTGTTCAATCTCCTCCCCCACTGCCATCCCTCCATCTCCCTCTCACACAGTTTTTATTGTTGTTGTTGGTTGGTTTTATGTTGTTTTGTTTTGAGACAGGTTCTCTCTATGTGGCTGTGATTTTGTAGACCAGGTTGGCCTTGAGCTCACGGAGATTCACCTCTCTCTGTCTTTTGAGTGCTGGGATCAAAGGTCACCATGCCTGGCCCACGTAGCTGTCTTTGGTGGAAGCCCAGGCTCACCTTTCCTTAGTTTTGACTAGTGCTCTTTTCCATTCTAGACTCATGTCCAGGCCACCTCACTGCACGTAGTGATTGTTTTTCTTTAAACAACTGTGGTTTCTCAGGCTTTACTGGTTTGGGATGGCCTTGACGATCATTTTTGCTTTATGTGTATGGGTGTTTTGCTTGCATGTATGTCTACATTATGTGTGGTGCAGTGCCTGTGGAGGCCAGAAGAGGGCATCAGATCCCCTGGAAGCAGAGTTAACAGATGGTTGTGTGCCATCATGTAGGTACTGGGAATGGAACTCTGGTCCTCTGGAAGGGCAACCAGTGCACCCAACCATTGAACCAGCCTCTAGCCCCCAATCTTGATAACATTGAAGAGTATTTTGGTCAGTGTTTTGTACAAAGCTCATTAACTGAGATTTCATGTTTATCTTACAAGTCGGCTTGAGGAATGAATTTATGTTTGGGGGGAAGAAGATCCCATTAGTGAACTGGCTTTGTCATAAAAGCCTGTCATGGCTACAGGTGCCAGTGTGACTCATGTCTGCAGAGGTAAATCTTGAACACCTCACTGAGGGAGTCAGTTTCCTCACCGTAAAACTGGTCATCCTTCACACACTTGGAAGAAAGCCATTAGCTACAGGCCACACCTCCAGAAAATAATCAGGTGTCTTGGAACCAGCATGGTGGGAGGGTTTATACCGCAGTGGGCAACAGACTTATGAACCGGGGATTAGGGGCAGTGCTAGTTCCCCAGGCCACCATGTATATGGCTTGGGCTCACTCCTAACAGACGACTGGCTAGATGAGCAGAAGAAAGATCATGAGGCTCACAGGGCAAAGGGGAAGGTGCTGAACTTGAGATGTATTCAGGTTACAAGGCTCAGCATAGACGCAGCTCTAGAAACCCAGCTGAGACCATTCCCAAAGATATTACTGGCAGAAACCTTGACTGACCTACTCTCCCTTTTCCACAGCAGTTGGTGATAGCTACCATCTATTGAGCACTCCTCATTCTAGATATTCTCAAATATCAGTTCATCTAATCTTCACAGATCCCTATTTTACATGTAAGAAAAGAGACCAGGTGGCTTATCCAAGAGCAAGAGCAACAAAGTGCCAAACCGAGATCTAACCCTGTGTACCTCCAGCCATGCTTTCCTAACCCTGTGTACCTCCAGCCATGCTATCCTCTATTCCACTTACCTCCTCTTGCCTGGACCGTTAGTTACCCTCAGATCCCTTTCAAGAGGGAGGGATGATGGTTGCCAGTGAGCTACAGGACTTGGTTAGTTCAGGAGTGTGTTGCCATTTCCTATGCAAAATGTTTCAGCGTAGACCATGCTCATGGAAATGTGTAAGAACTGGGACTGTAGGCTCCTGAAGTTTCTCTCTGGGCCAGGCAAACTGGGCTGCAATTGTACTATCCAGTCCTTCCAACCCAAATTTCTCTCATAATAATATTTTCTTTTGAAAAATATGAGTATCTTGTAGGGGAAATTATGAATCCTTAAGCCTTGGAGATTAATTGGGCTCTGTAGTGTCATTATGATTTAATTTGATGCATGACTTCATTCTTTTTCAAATCAATGTTTAAGAAACAGACTTATAAAAACCGAGCACTAGAGTTAACCAGTAGGGGTTGGGGAAATTCTATAAGACTGTACAATCTATACGAGCAAAATGCATATAAAATGCAGTGTAGTTCATTTTTTAAAACCCAAGCATGAAATTCACTTGGACTTCATGTAATATCTAAGGCAAATGAAGTACTAATTCATCTGTTTTCATTTCAAAAATCTGTGATGTTTAAAGTTATTTTTGGATAAATAACCTGAAATAGGGTAAGACATTTAGAATGGGGCCTGTCTGAATAATAAAGAACGTTATTTTGCCTTAGTAAGCTTAGGTTACTATTTTTAGCTGAGATTTCACTGGTCTTATTCGAGTCTGAACAATGTTCAGACTTGTGCTAATGCTCTTTTGATTTTTCTCAGATCAAGAAGACTCATCAAGTAGAGCTATTCATGATCTGAATTCTGGCGTGTGAATCAAATTATGGTACACTGTTGCAGGAGGTATTAGAAAAGACTCATCCGGCTGGATCCCACCGCAGCTGCCATGTTCCTGCACTAAGCTCAACACTAGCTGGCAGTCTGGTGCCAACCAGGAGTTCTCATCTCAGCAGGCTCTCTGGTCAGAGCTCCAGAGCTCTCCTGGTGGTCACACTAGCCCCATGCCACACTTATCCTCCCCATGATCAGCCACCACACCCATCACCTGGTGAAATCAGAACTCTTAATGCTTATAGTCAACCAATAAGATTTAAATATCATCAAATACTCAAATCCCAAGATGTCCACACAATAATTTCAAAGCTAATTGAATAATGGTAAGATGCCAATATAGATTAGACAATTTATCCCAATTATCCTAACCTTTTCATATCTTCTCTGCGTATGAGAGTATTAAAGCCACACTGGTTTCACATCCTTTACCATATTCTCTCTCCCGAATTTTTCCCTGCATCTCTCTCTGCTACCCTTAGCTGTACCTCCCTTTTCCCTGTCCAGTCACCACTGCAAATAGATTGGACAGGGAAATTTCTGCCACAGTACATATTGAAAGTCACGAGACATTCGTTTTGTAATCAATAAGTCAGTAAGTAGTATTACTCATTAGTTGATGTTTAAAGATAACCTATCAGGTCTGCCATTTCCCCTTCTCAATTCCAGAGGGCATCATTTCTATTTCAGGGATGTACTTTTGGGATTCTCCAAATATGCCACCAGGTGTCCTCTCCCTGGTGATGCTGTTGCTCTTGTTGGCACCCATGTAAGAGAATCCAGCGCCTTGACCTGTCTTCTTCCCAAGCAGACCATGGAGATCTGGTTTAGTCTTACAGTTGCCTTCCTTTCCCACCTTGTGGCACTGAGCATACTTCTGGACAAAAATCTTCTTGCCTTTCCCAATATCATCCATTTTTAATTCTCTCTGGGCTGTCTAATAGCACAAATGCTTTGGCTAACATCTGCCTTCCCAGGTTTTGTCTTAAGGAAGGCTAGGGAACTACTCTAGAGAGCCAGGTTAAAGGAAGGTCTTAGCTGGGCTCACCTTTAATATTAGCACACTTGAGAGTCAGAGGTAGTGGAGCTCTGTGAGTTCAAGGCCAGTCTCTTGGCCTACAAATTGAGTCAGCACAGCTAGGGATACACAGAGAAATCCTGACTCAAAATGAAACAAAACACCCAAAGTAAGTTTTAATTTTTAAAAATGTAATGCATAATTATTTTATTAAACCCATTGTATCTGTACACTTTTTGTTTTTAAGGTGAATATAATTCATAGACTTATGAATATTCAAAGTGATGGGCTTTGAAATGACATTTTTATCCAAGTGTGTCATGTACTCTATTGTCAGTTCTCTTTTCCCTTCCTCTTCCTCCGTCTCTTCCTCTTCATGTCATGCATGTGCACATGTACCACATATGTGCACACACACTCACACATGCTTAGGTGCACACACATGCACACACACGCACTCACATACATTCACACATACACACTCTCATACACACACACATACATTCACACACACACACACACACACACACACACACACACACACACACACAGAGTCTAGGTTCCGCATACGAGAGGAGACATGCATTTGTCTTTCTGGATCTGGCTTCTTCACCTAATATGCTAACCCTCCGTTCTATTCATTGTCCAGAAAATGACAGAATTTTGTTCTTTGTGGCTGAAGAAAACATGATTGTGTTTACACCCCAAGCTAAAGTGGCTGACAGCACCTCACCAGTCCTAACTTTGCCTTCTACAAAACCCCAGTGTCATGATAATATTCAATGGCCTTGAGCACTCTATGAACTTGAGCCAAAATCTGACTGTGCAGCCTAGAGACTCTTGAAGAAGAGCCGAAGTATGCTGCAGGTACTAGGAAGGGGGCACTGGGTGATTGCCGTCTGCTAACTCTCCTCCATGTGGGTTCATTAGTGCTCACACACATGTGCATACATGTAGTAGTGCTCACATACATGTACATACATGCAGATAGGAAGCAAAATGATAATTCAGATTTCTGTCACTATCCAGACCTTCTCAAATGTAGACTTTCTTAGTGTTTACAGTTTTAAGCCAGGGCATCAGCATGCAGCCCAGGGTGTCCTGGAACTCCTGAGTGCTGGGATTACAGCTGTGGGACTTTTATGTGCCTGGAAGAAAGCATTGTATTGTTTGTCCCTGCCTTCCAAAGGGCCAACCCTGTGCTTCCTTTTCACAATGTCCTGTCTTCTCATTGGCTCTCTGGAGTCTAGCTGGGTCATTTCTGAGCAATTTCAGGATCGTCATTTGATCAACTTCTCATGCTTTCTAACTGCGTGCTTACGGGCATTTCCCAAGTTGCAGAATGAAATGCCCATTCTCACATCCAGCTGCGCTCCCACACTCAAGGGAAGCATGTCTTCTTTGCTGCTCTCTTCTCTGATTCTTCATCCCCAAGAGAAGCCCCCTGCATCTATTTATGGACAATGTTCTAGAACTTACCCTGCCAGAATAATTTTCCTAATGGGAAATCTAATGGGGCCTCCCACTGACAGAGAAGACCACCCCATCTGCAGCTAGGGACAAGAGACACTCCCAGCCCACATGTAAAGAAATGTAGCAGATCATGGCTTGGTGTGTATGCATTGCTTATTTAATATTTGAGCATCTTTTTTTTTTCCTGAAGATGTTTCTATTGAGCTCACTGGTGGAGTCAAGCATCTGGAAAGCATCAAACCTCACCCCACTGAGGTAAACCCCTATTGCGTATTTCCTTTTTAATGTGAGCCCAGTGGGCATGCAGCGTGTATCTCTATGTTTAGCACGGTTTCTTGCCAAGGCTGTTCTCAAGCACATGACGTCTCTAAATAAATCAGTGCTGTGCAGACCTATTGAACACCCCTCCTAATTGATGCTAACAGAAAATCTAAATGGGGCTCTGAGGAACCTCATGGTTCCTTGATGTGAGGTCCCTTTTACATTCTGAAGCAGTGGATTGCAGCTGAAGGGGGTAAGCAGTGGGGAACATTGTTCGCTGGCTTGCGGTGCAGCTCAGTGGTAAAGTGTAGACTAGGCAAGCAGGACCTACGTTTGCTCGAGCATCCTTCCCAAGGAAAACCCCCAAACCAACTCTTTAATTTTTATTAAAAGCTGTTTTTTTTAATTTGACCCAATCTTGCCCAAGATATAGAATTAACTTGGCCTATCTAAATCCACAAGCAAAAGATTCAGCCCCTTGTTAAGGACATAGGATGGATAGTGTACCAACTGAATGCCAATATAAATTGAAAAGCCATGTATGTTACTCAAGATAGATGGACTAAGATGAAATATTATACTTCAAGGAGGAAAACGCTCATGTTTCTTTATCATTCTTATATTCTAAAGGGTCAATACAGTTAATTTCCATTCTCTGTTTAGGATGTGATCCAGTTGGCCAATGGTCTGCAGATACAGCAAAAGTAACCAAACTTTTATTAAATTCTTCCAGTTAGTGTGATTAGCTTATTGATAGGTGGGTGATGTAGCTACTGGAGAACAACTTGACCCTGTGACTTCTTCCCAAGAACATGCTGCTCAGCACATAGAGCTAGCCCCAGGGAGACTGGGTGCTCGGCACTGTGCTATGCCCGCACCTTCAGTAACATGCTTCAGGCCACTGAGTTGAAACATTACCCAATAATGTGGTGATAAACTGATTTTCCCCTATGTCCAGCCAAGATTGCAATAGATGGGTTGAAAAAGTGACTCTAAGTAAAGGAGATAGAAGTGAGATTAAGTTAGAGGGAGAGCCAGGTTGTGGGCGTGGCGCACACCTTTAATCCCAGCATTTGGGAGGCCAAGGCAGGTGGGTCTCTGAGTTCAAGGCCAGCCTGGTCTATATATTGAGTTCTAGGATAGTTCTTCTCTACACAGAGAAGACAGAATTATTCTACTTTTTAGAAAAAGATTTTATTTTATGTTGTCTTAGTGTTTTATTGCTGTGAATAGACACCACCACCAAGGCAACTCTTATAAGGACAACTTCAACTGGGGCAGGTTTACAGGTTCAGAGGTTTAGTCCATTATCATCAAGGTGGGAGCATGGCAGCGTTCAGGTAGACATAGTGTAATAGGAGCTGTCAGTTCTACATCTTCATCGGAAGGCAGCTAGGAGAAGACTGGCTTCCGGGCAGTTAGGTTGAGAGTCTTAAAGCCCATGCCTACAGTGACACACCTACTCCAACAGGGCCACACCTTCTAACAGTGGCATTCCCTGGGCCAAGCACATTCAAATTATCACATATATGCATGGGTGTTTTATCAGCATGTATGACTGTGTACCATGTGTAAGCCTGGTGCCCATGGAAGCCATAAGAGGACATCAGATGCCCTGGAACTAGAGTTACAGATGGTTGTAAAGCACCATATGGGTGCTGGGAAGCAAACCTGGATCCTTTGGAAGAGCAACCAGTGCTCTTAGCTTTACAGCCATGGCCCTAGTCACTTGCTCTACTTTGGATTTGAATCAACAGAAGAAGTCATGATACTGTTGAGAAGAGGTAAAATCTCACGAGAACAGTCACTCTCCATAGCCACAGGCTTCTCTTCCTTATCTAGTGGCACGGCCTTCCTATTCCAAGGTTATAGGTAAGTTCTCCTTTCATGAGAGCAACAGACAGGTTTGCCTATGTAGGAAGGACATCAATGAACACAGTGATTATACAGTGTCTTACGTTCCATTCCCATTGTCTGTTTCCTTCTTATATTCTAACATTCTCTACCTTTCTGGCTCACTTTGAGAGGCCCCACCCAAGTTGCTGCATGGTCACTAATTTTGTCATTTGCAACAGTGTCCTTCTTTGTCAGGCCATGTAGCAATTCATGTGGTGTGGAGCTGAGTAGTAATTTACTGTCAGCATGAGTTTACATAAAAGCATTTTGTTAATGCAAGGACTGAAACAATATTAGAATCCAGGTGTGATACTGTGATGTGTTTGTCCTATAAATCTGGGAACTGACTTATGCTGGTTTTCTTGTACTATGATACTGAGATAAGAACAAATGAGCAGATGCTGTCTAATCACGGATTCTGGATGTTTGCAAATACTGAAGTAAAGTTACATATCTTGAAGGAGAAGTGACACAAGAGAATCTTAACTTCCCCTTTTCTTCAGCAGGAAGAGCTTCAGTTGGGAAACAGCTGCTGACAAGATTTTCACTAGAAGGTTTTTCTGGAGGAGAAACCCAACCCACTCACTTCATGGGTATATGTGGTCAATCAATGCTTTGGAGTTTGTTGGGCACGGTGTTGAGTACCTGAACTAAGAGATGCTCAGCCATGCTTCCTCCTGCTCTCAAGGACCTGGAAGATCAGAGGAGTGACAGACACAAAGTTATGAGCTTGTAAGCAATGTGATACCATGCCAGTGTAAGACAATGTGAGAGCAGAAGTTTGTGCCAGTGGACAATGAGGTTCTTAAGCCTTGCAGCCTAATGGCTGTCTTATTAGTTCCTGGTTTTTGATGGGCTCCTTAGGATTTCCTAAAGACTCAGCCATGCTATCCACAATGATTGCCTCATTTCTTCTCTTCTGATTTGTATGTCTTTTATTTATTTTTCTTATCTTATTGTGTGAGCTAGGACTTCTAGTACAATGAGTAGTCATTACCTTCATTTTGATCTTAGGGGAAGATTTCCATTTTAACCACTATGATGTCAGTTATTTACATTTGGTAAATGTTCTTTCATGTTTAAGGGGGTTTCCTCTCCATTGCAGAATCTATATTTTGAATGGGTTTTGAGTTTTGTTAGATTGAAATGACTATGTGGGATTTTTCTCCCTTAGCCTGCTGGTGTGGCTGGACATTGTGATGGTCTTCATTTTTGGCTTGATTAGGCTGAGAGACACTCAGATTAGCAAAAGACATTCCAGGTTTGTC